TACCTACGTACCTCCGTCCTCCTCCTCCTCCTCCTCCTCCTCCTCCTCCTCCTCCTCCTCCTCTCCTCCTCCTCCTCCTCCTCCTCCTCCTCCTCCTCCTCCTCCTCCTCCTCCTCCTCCTCCTCCTCCTCCTCCTCCTCCTCCTCCTCCTCCTCCTCCTCCTCCTCCTCCTCCTCCTCCTCCTCCTCCTCCTTTTCTTCTTCCCCACAACCATCAACTCCTCCTCCTCCTCCTCTAACACACGCTCCATCTTCTTCTGCACTTACGTCTCACCCCCCTCATTGCAGGGGTTCAGGCGACACCAGCAGACGCTTTTGATCCATCAAGGTAGACGACCAGACGCGTCATGTTGTATCTTCATGTTGTTGACGCCATGGCAGGAGTTTGTCGAGCTGCCCAGACTGTCGTTGTGGATGACAAATCTCAAGTTTCCATGCACTTGTGCGATGAGTGGAGGAGAGGACGCAAAGACAAGGACAGTGCTTGTGTTCACTTGAACGACGACGATGATGGAGGGAGCAACATGCTGGATGTCTTGTCAGCGATGAGAGATGAGTTGTGACAAGACGCGGTCAACGTGGGGAGGTGAAGATGACGCTTTTGTAGCTCAGACTGCTGAAGGCTGTCTTGAAAGATTTTAGAGCAGATAACATCGCTCAGTTTTATGGTATTAACATCTTTACATTCATTTACATCATCGCCTTCATCCTCCATCCCTTCTCAGTTCTTCTTCGGCGCAGGTTTGAATTCCTTCCACTTGCTCCATTTCTCTGTCAACTCCTCTACGCCCTTCCCTCTCTCCTCCTCCACTTCATCTTCCTCCAAGATGTTCTCCCGCCTCCTCGTCTTCCTAGGTGATATCAGCTCCTGCGACTGATCCTCCTCCTTCTCCTCCTCCAGCGACGCTTCAAACCCGCTCTTCAGCATGCAGACCTTCACGCGATGGGCAGCCAGCAGTCGACCTTCGTCCTCCTTCCTCATGCACAGAACAGGCACGTCCACTTGCTCCGCCGCCTCCAAACGTCCGGGAGCAGGAGGGAGGAGGGGGCGCGAGGGATCTAAATCGAGGAGGACGACCACCCCCTCTGCTCCCGCCTGCAGCGCCCGCAGAGCCTTGAGAGCTACCGCACACCTGCCGCCATGCACAACCTGAAGCTGCGTCAGCTCCGCCTCCTCTCCTGCTCTCCTCCCTTCCTCCTCCTCCCCCTCTCCCTCCTTCTCCTCCTGAGCTCTGTCATACCGCAAGAGATCCTCGCATTTCCCGCTGGTTGCTGAGCTGCTCATCAGCGAGCGGAGGCCGCGCAAGGGCAGGAGCGAGCATGTTGTGCTTTCCGCTACCGAAAAGAAGCTCTCCCTCCTCCCCGACTTCAAACCTCCCCCGCACCTACTCGAAACCATCACTCCTCTCCCCCTCCTCCTCCCTCTTCCTCCTCCTGCCTATCTTCTGCTACATCCTCCTCCTCTACCTCCTCCCTCACTCCTCCTCCTCCCTCTCTCCCTTATCCTACCAGTTCCTCGGCCTCGTAGTCCTCGATGACGGAGGAGACAGTGTCTGTGGTGATGAGCGACGAGAATCTCTCTCCCCGCGAGCGCCTGAGAGCAGTCACAAGAGTTCCAGATGGGAGGAGGAGGACGAGGACGTGGAGGTGGAGGTGGAGGAGGTGGAGGACGAGAAAAGCAGCAGCAGGAGCAAGAGAGAGACACTGGACAGCAAGAAAATTGACATCGTTGCAGGGAAGTGAAGGTGAAGAAAGATATTGAGTACATGCAGGAGCGGGAGCTGGAGCTGGAGCGAGAGCGAGAGCGAGAGCAGGAGCAGGAGCAGGAGCAGGAGCAGCATGTGGATATCAAACCCGAATGTGCAGGCGACGAACTGAACGAGACGATCTTTAGGGACATGTCGGATCTCAAGGTCTGCGATCAAGGCATGTGAGACTGGGAGCAAGTTCAAGCATCCTCACCTTCTTCCGCCATGGACACGTCGAGCAGAGCGACGACGCCGAAGTAGAGGATGCCGATGTCAGGATGGGAGGAGACGAAGATGTTTGGAAGAGAGAGAACAGAAGAAAGATCGACAGACGGCACATCGGAGAACATCTTCATAACTTGTCTCCTCTGATCTTCAAAGGGCGCAATCTCCTGGATCGCCTGCTCATGCTGCTCAACACAACATGTGAGCACGAGTCGGGGCAACACTGATCTGAGAACACAACCTCCTGAGAAACTTGCTTCAATCTGGATCGACGCGCTGCTACAAGACCCTTCAGCTCTTCTGTCCGACTTCCCAACTTCTCGAGGTAGCTCCTCCTCTTCCTCAGCATCTCCAACCTCCGCGCCAACCTCCTCTCGGTGCCCTCGCCAGGTGCTGCTGGCAGATCTCACAACGACTTTGGGGAGAGAGGGGAGAAGACAACCAGCTGCTGACTTAGTCGATTCGATCTCTGCCATGTCTTTCTCAACCTTCTCAATCTTCTGTCGGTGGGGAACGGAGACTTCACGTCAGCCGCACAAACACAAGTGGCATGTTTCTCACCTGTGCCGCTGACAAGCAGGAGGAGTAGAGAGACTCTGCTTGCGACAACCTGAGACGTTGTTACAATGAACAACACAAACACACTCATCACTCTTGTGTAGCACGAGTCAATCTCTGTTGTATGTCTTTCATTTTGCCGTCAACCCCGCGTCCTGCCAGCTCGGCCTGTCACAACCTCAATCTCCCTGATATACAACAAGATGCCATGTGAGCACCTCGATCTGATTGAGTTGGTGCAGAAGAGAGATCTCCTGTTTCGCAGTATCACAAGCCCCAGAACATCTCTCTTCAACAAACAACATCTTCTTTAGGCTCAACTAGTGCCTTGAGGGGATCAACAGGGGAATCTCGCTTGTCCATGACTTGAATCAGTTTCAAGCTGCAGCCACAAGTTACAGCCCTTTGACACCTCTCATTCCTTTCACCTGTTCTTCACTCTCTGCACATTCCGTCGAAACTTTCCCGCCGGCAAATCAGCTTGAAGCATTCTTTCTCGCAAGATTGCACGTTAGAACCATATCATGGCACAAACATCGAAGCAACAGCGACATCGGAAGAGAAGGGACATGTCAACACTCACGATGACTGTCGAGAAATCTCCTCATGCATGAGCTGGTGGCCAACAATCATCACGGCCCAACTCGAGTCAATGCAGGACATCTCACTTGCAGCCTTGCTTCCTCCTGCCTCGCCGTCGACAAGCTCCCATCGATGCTCATCAGCCTCTTGTCCATGGCGACATTCCTCTCCTTCTCTCTCCTCCTCCCTCCACCAGCCTCCGATGTCTGCAAGACCATCTTGTGCAACAAAATCCCTTCTTCCGTCGAGAATCTTCCTGCTCCCGCTCCCGCTCCCGCTCCCGCTCCTGCTCCTGCTCCCGCTCCCGCTCCCGCTCCTGCTCCTGCTCCTGCTCCAGCTCCAGCTCCAGCTCCAGCTCCAGCTCCAGCTCCTGCTCCCGCTCCTGCTCCTCCTTCATTTCTCAGAATCAGACTCATAGCAGCTTGCTGCGCAGCCTCCTTTCCCTCCTCGACTCCACTGTCATTTCATCTCAGCGCTTCTTCACACCTTCACGTCACTTCCAGCTCACCTCACAAACATCCGCCAAAGGCATTCCAACGACATGAGCCTCGAATTGTCCTTGCTTGCCATCTGAACAATATCAGATCAGCTCTGCTGCTCATCATCTCAACACAACTTGCCTTCTCCATCACAAACTCAACAAGACATTCAGCAGCAGTCCTCGCGCCCTGACAGCAGTCATCAACCTTCATCTGCTGAAATCTCACAAGCTCACGGGTCCTCCCATCATTGCCCCGACAATCGCGTCGAGACATCCGGACCGCCGGTCCTCTGCCCTGCCATGGCGGGTGAGCAACGAAAGGGACGCGCTATCCCGGACGAGCCTCCCGATGTCTCGATGCAGGACAGGACAGCAAGAGGTCACCTGAAGAGAGCTACTTTCTGCAGGAGGAGGCAGAGAGATTCTGCGAGGAGGGTCAAGGGGTGACAACCGGCGCGACATGTCACTTGCGACAGCAACATCTCCATCAGATGTGAGAGCTGCCAGGATCTCAACACTTGCTTGTCGATGCTCGGGTCGATGATCGATCATGTTCTTCAAGACGAACTGAAAGACGAATCATATTACATCATCGCAGTCCCATCTTTTGTCATTCACTTCGAGAGGTTCACTCTCTCCGCTGCGCCAAAGGCTCATCAGGATGTCGATGCTGTTCTGAAATGACAATCACTTTCAGTCGCTCCATCTCGTGTCAACAGGTACTACCTGTCGCATGTGCCAGGGAAAAGTCATGAAAGCTCTGAAACATGTCTCCACTATCATCTTCTTTTCTTCTCCGGCCGCTCGCACAATCAACTTGGTGCCTTCGGTCATGAACAGCTGGTGGTGAAGCAGCTCGTCGTCTTTGTCTGCCTTGCTGAACTTGAGGAGGCTGTCGATGGCTGCCATGGCGACGCTCCTGGCGGGGAAACGACAAACAGAGTCCAACGCCTTGAGAGCTGCGAAGCGAAGAGAAACATGCTCATCCTCAAGCCTGACGAGAAAGAATCAGCGGGAGAGGTGCAGCAGAGACAAGGCGATCGAGATGCAAGCGAGGAGAACAGAAAGGGGCAAACAAGCAGAGAAGAAGACATCGACCTCTCTAAGATTCCCTTCATCATCGCGTTCACTTGCGCTGATTCGGGCTCTCCGACACTCTCAACAATCTTGAGAGCGAGGAGACGAACTTGACGGGCGCGATGCTGCAGCAGGTGGGCAGACACCTCAAGTAGCTGACGCACTCGTCACTGTATGCCTGCTCCTAGCTGTGAAACCCACCTCCTTCTCTCCTCTTGACGAAGAAGCAAGCAAGAAGTCGACTGCGCTCTGACAGGTCTGCAAGAAGCTGAGAAGAGAGCAAGAGGGAAGGGAAGGGGAGGGGAGAGGAGACGAGAGCAGGAGCGGGCTTCATATCAGCTACTTGCCTTCAAGGAGATTGAGCGGTCCAGAGCTGATCAAAGAGATCAGCATCCTCATCGCTAGTTTCCACCCCCCAAAACCCAACCCACCACCCAACCCA